AGTAGGGGGTCTCAAGGCTTGTTGGATCCGTTCTCACATCTGTCCACAGGTCTGGTCGACGTCAATGGGTCCCCCCAAATGCAGGGTCTGAAAAATATCTCAAAGACCACTCCTAGGCCTTACAATAGCAGTGGTATCTATAGACGCAATTGGGGAAGTCACAAATCTTGCACCTGTCAGGGAGGATACACGCTGTCAAGCTGTAAGTAGTGACAGCAGTAAGAAAGTTAGGAAACCATGGCTGGTTAACTTCTGGCTGTATCTATACTTTTATAGAAATCAGACTTTTATTACCATTTTTACCTTATAGCTTTCCCCCCCCGCAACCAGCGATATCCTCGAGGTATGGCTGTAACTGTGGTAAGTGCTGCAAGGAAGAGCAGAGCTGGAAGGGAGGTGCAGAGTCTGGAAGGCCACGCAGATCAGGACGACAAGACCAAGTCAATGTGTGTTGTGTGTACGGTGGTGGTGCTAGCGCGGAAGAAGAGGGGTGCTGACCAAGGGCTGCGGCAGGTGGTCCCAAGGTTCGGGAGCACACTCCCCCTGGGCCAACGTGCCTGGGGCGCTCAGGGGAGGCAGAAGAGGGTCTCTGGCGGGCTGTAGACCCGGCGGGCTCAGGGCAGTTTTGGGCACCCAACTCCTCTCATGCCAGCCCTTGCAGCCACTCCAGTGTCCGGGTCCAGACCACCGGCGCCACCAGCCGGACAGGCAGTGAATATCTGCTCTTCCTCGGGCGGAGAATGGCTTGCCCCTGGGAAGTTGGCCCATGTGACTTCCCTCCCTCACTTCGCTGGCCAGGGACCAGCGACCCAGAGCAAGCCCGGCAGCGCGCGGCACGCCTCGGCCTTCGCCCTTTGGGCCGGGACCTGTCAGAGGCCGCTGGGCGTGGAGGCCGGGACGGACCAACGACACGCGGGGGCGGCCTCCGGGCAGGCTAGAGCCCAACAGGCTGGAGGGTCGGAAAAGGGGTGACACACTTCTGGCCCCGCAGCCTCGGTGGGGAGATTGTCAGCGCGGAGGCGACCTCTTCCGGTCGGTGCACGGAGCTTCGCGCCCAGGCGCTGTGTGTGTGTCAGGCTGCGGAGCCACCGGTAAGGGAGTGGGCCGGGCTGGGGGAGTCTTGGGGAAGTGACTGCTTCCTCCCCTGCCCCCCCACCGCCGCTGTTTCCAGTACTGGCTCCCCGAGAGAAGTCACCACTTCGGCCCACATCTCGGGGAGTCTGCATCTCATAACCCCGGCAGGAGCAGCATTTCTGTTGTCCAGCAGCATTTCTGCGGTGACGCTTTCTTGCTCACCCCATTCGCACATTATGTGGTGGGCTGGGGCGTGGGTTGTGTTCTCTTCTGGACTGGGCCCAAGTGGTTTTGTGGTCTCGTCAGTCTCATGTCTTCCCATTCCACATAGGGCCCAGGATTTTGAGCAACTGGCACCGACCTGAGGATTCTATTTACCTGCTGTTATTCCTGCTTTGGGGCTCTCTGCTGTGGGTTCTCTACTCTGGATGCACTGGCTCTCCCCTGTGTCTTGTTTGCCCTTTCCTGCAACTCTGGCTGATGTTGACTGCTCACCTACTATGCCTTACCTCCTGCCCACTGCCTCACCCCCAGGATTAAGCAGTGCCTTTGAAATGGAGATGCAGGGGGGAAATTATCTCACCCTGCCTTTAGATCAGATAACAGTCATTTAATTTCCGACTGGGCTTACTTAAAGTTCCTTTCCCTTTCTAGCTTTCAGGTTCCTTCTTTTTTCCAGGAGGAGAAGGAAATCTTTCCATGGCAGCCTGGGTTCTTGACAACCTGGCTCAAGGTTAAGGAAACTTACTCCTAGTCTGCATCACATATACCAGGTCACAGTAAAGCTAGTGTAGGATGAAGAGGGCAAACCTGGCTTCTTGTCTCAACTCTGCCACCAACTCATGATATGACCCAGAACATTTTGTTTTGACTCCTCTGGGCCTCTGCTCTGATATGTCTAAATGGGACGCTGAATTGGAGGTACTTGCCAGCAGCGGAATGCTATTATAAAAGTATTGCATTGTGCATTCACTAAGAGGCTGAGAGACACAAGGGCGTATAGTGGGAGAGGGTGGAGGGAAAGGATGGACCGATTGACACTGAGCTCCTATCCTGTGTATGGCTCTGTGCTGATCATCCGCATTGCCACCAAGAGCATCATCATTCTTATTTTGAGAACTTACCATGAGCCAAGTATTACACTAAATATATGTATTATGCCATTTAATCCTCAGATCAACCTGTGTCAGGGGGTCCCCAAGACTACCCTCACATTCAGAGAGATTCCCTAGAAGGACTCATAGGACTCATACAACTATGAGACTCATATAGGTAGGACTCAGCATAGTCTTATGAGTCCCATAGTTGTCTGAGTCCCGTAGCTGTAGTCATGACTAAGATTTATTACAGCTGTGTAGTAAGGAGACATGATCATAAGCGGAAAAGACACAGGTGGATTCTGAAGGAATCTATGTGCAGGATTCCTAAGGCTTCCTGCTGAGAGAGATCACACAGAGCTCACTCCTCCTAGCAGTGAAAATGCAGCAACATGTGCCATGTTTCTACCAGGGAAGCTCGTTAGAGAGTCAGTGCCCAAGGATTTTATTGGGGGATTGGTCATGTAGACACCCTCTGCCTAGCACATGTTATAGCCCAACTAAGTCCGTTTCCACTGCCCAGGAAAGGCCAATACACTGAGACAGCGGGTGTTGCTGTGGAGAAAGAGTTTTATTTCATAAGGCACCAGGGGAGGAGATGGGAGTAATTTTTCAAACCCATCTCCTTGAGAATTTGGGGGCTAAGATTTTTAAAGGTGGTTTGGTGAACAAAGGGCGAGGGAGTTGGGTCTGCTGATTGGCTGGGGATGAACTCATGGGGTTGGGAAGCAGAAATCTTCTAAGTTGAGAGATTTCCCAGTAGGGGGTCTCAAGGCTTGTTGGATCCGTTCTCACATCTGTCCACAGGTCTGGTCGACGTCAATGGGTCCCCCCAAATGCAGGGTCTGAAAAATATCTCAAAGACCACTCCTAGGCCTTACAATAGCAGTGGTATCTATAGACGCAATTGGGGAAGTCACAAATCTTGCACCTGTCAGGGAGGATACACGCTGTCAAGCTGTAAGTAGTGACAGCAGTAAGAAAGTTAGGAAACCATGGCTGGTTAACTTCTGGCTGTATCTATACTTTTATAGAAATCAGACTTTTATTACCATTTTTACCTTATAGCTTTTCATTGTTTTAATATAGGCGACTTCACACATACAAAAATTCCAGAGTTTCAGAAGGAAAACAGATTTTCAGCATAAATCATATTATTTGTATAAATAGTCTAGGCATAATGAACTACTCTTGTTGGTTAAGTGGTGACTGGATACACTGAAAGGAAAGTTCCCAGACACCAGCTAAGGGCCTATCTTGCAAGCAGGCCTTTCTTAGTCTCAGGCCTGAAATGTTAAGGATTTATGCACACAACCCTAAGAAACAGTAATATCATTTTACAGAAGATAAAATTTAGAGTTTAAGAGATTAGTAACTTGTCCAGAGTTGCGCTGCGGGCAAGTGGCACAGCCAAGAGTCTAATCAGTCTGTTTATTAAAGAACTGGAGATCTTGTCCACCCATTGTGTCATAATGCCCGTCCCAGGGCCCTCAAGTCTTGTTCTTTTTGCCTAAAATGTACTTTCTCTATCTCTTTGCATGACTGGTTTATTTCATTCTTTAGGTCGTTTTGTTTTTGAGACAGTGTCTCACTATGTTGCCCAGGTAGCCCAAACTCCTGGCCTCAAGTGATCCTCTTGCCTCAGTCTCCCAAGTAGCTGGTGCCATAGGCATGCACCACTGCCTGCCTGTCTTGGTTTCTTTTAATTATTCAGGCCTCAGCTAAAATTTCAACTTATCAGAAAGACCCTCCCTGACTACTCTATGTAAAGTAGCCTCTCCTTTAAGTTACTTTGTAGCATTACCTTATTTTAGTTTATTCAAAAAATTTGTCTTTATGTGAAATGATCTCTTGTCTTTGTTTAATCTGTATGAAGTCCATCTCCCTTAGGGGTGTGCTGGCAAATTGGAACTCTGAGAGAGAAAAAAAAAAAACAGATTTGTAGGGTTTGCCAGTTTCCATGTTGTAAATAAATAACCCCCTGGCCAATTTCAAGAACCAACATAAGGTCACTGAAGGAGGAGTTGGAAGAGATGTGCATAATCAGCTTTAAAAACCAGGACTGCATCTTCTTCACTGCTGTGCCCTCAAGATCTGGCACTTAATAAGTGCTCTATAAATATTTATTGAGGGAGGAATAATTCTCTACTGTTGAAAGCATTCACTCTTATCTCACAGAGGAAAATATTGGGGCTCAAAGATGAGACAAACTCTCTTGGGCACACATTAAGTGCAAGAGCAAAACATTGAGTACAGCCCGTTTGTGCAAGATTCACTCCTAAGTAGTTATAGAGAAGTCTAAAATGGGAGAACTTAGGGCTGGGGAATAAGTTTTCATGTATAGTTTCATAGTCCACATCAATAAATAATTTATTGCAGGCTCACCATACAGAAAGAGCTATCTTAGACACGATAGGGGAGACAAAGATGGATTTAAATATCATTCTTCAAGGAGCTCCTATTCTATTGAGAAAATGAGATACACACTCATTTTCAAATGCACATTAGTAAGAGCAATACAAGCCAAATGCCAGTGGAATCTCAGAGTAGTGTCATATCCTTTGGGGGAAAGGGAATCAGGGACAGGAGGGAATTCGTCAAAAATGAGGCATTTCAGCTGGGCTGTAAGGGTATATAGGGTTAGCTGTAAGTGGAAAGGTAAGGTATTGCAGGCAAATGGAACAATATGAGAAAGGCATCTAAAGAGTTGCTTGAAGAAAAGAGCCCGGCTCATCTGGTGTATCAATATGGGAACAACTCAAACAGGCCTGAATCTTAGAACTCCAGTGGACATGCTATTGGAAAACTGACCTTCAATTCACTCTTTTACCAAACCCTCAAGAACATAGGGAGTTGTTAGCAATTACAGTAGTCCCCCTGTAGGGGATACATCCCAAGACCCCCAGTGGATGCCTGAAGAAAGGATTGTATGAAAGTCTATCTACACTGTATTGTTTCCTATACATACATACCTATGATAAAGTTTAATTTGTCGATTAGGTATAGTAAGAGATAACAATAATTAATAATAGCATAGTTATAAAAGTATACTGTAATATGTTATGTGAGTGTGGTTTCTCTCTCAAAATATTGTTCGGTACTTGCCCTTGTTGTGATCCATCAATCTGATAACTGAGATGGCTGCTAGGTGACTAATGGGCAGGTAGCATAGACAGTGTAGATGTATGCTATGCAAAGGGATGATTCCTGTCCTGGGTGGGATGGAGCAGAGCAGTGTGAGATTTCAGAACCCTACTCAGAATGGTGTGCAATTTAAAACTTATGAATTGTTTCTTTCTGGAATTTTCATTTGATATTTTAGGCATTATGGGGGTGAACTGCAGTTGACCATGGGTAATGGAAACCATGGAAAGCAAAACCACAGATAAGAGAGGACTACTCTATTTACAATTGTAAAGAAGGCGGCCTTGCTGCTATGGTCTCTAGAGCAGCTTGGAATCCCAGGGGAGTGTAAATCCCACCCCCAGCCAAAGACAAGGAGAACTTTGTGAAACATTTGGTTGGACTTCCACTGCAATCTGGCAGTATCTTCAGCAGTAATACACCTTCATGGGGAATTTGAAGGCCACAGAAGTTTGCCTCTCCATACAGAGATTGGATTTATATCCTTTGCCCGTGTTTGACGTCACTTTCCTGTCTGTAGCTATCATCCATGTGACTGCTGTGCAGGAGGATCTGGCAAAACAGCTGGAAAAATGGCTTGGTGACGATTCTTGGTGTCTTAAGTTCACCTGAGGAATAGATATCATTTGACAGGCAATGGGGAACTACTGAAAATTTTTGAGCAGGGGAGTGAAAGCTTTAGCAATGTCAATCTAGCAGCAATATGTTATATTTGAGTTTAGGAAAAAATAGAATTCTTAATGAATAGTGGGACACATAAAGAAAGATAACAGTAT